ATGGCAAAAGTAACAAAGACGTGTCGATCTATGATGATCTACCTACAGTATATATGATCCATGTGTATGTATGGTGTTTATCGCATTGTGTTTTTTGGGGGTCTCCCGAGTCTTGCTTTTCCTTGATGAATTAGAAGCCCACCCCACTCTGCACTGCTGAGCTCCACACTCGCTTGGCTGAACTGGAGCGGCTCGGCGACGCTTTGGGCTTGCGCTCTGGGCTCGCTGGCCCTGGTGCCACTGGAGGAGCCGCGGCGGGCACCGCACCCGGAACCGCCGCGGCGACTGGCGGTGCAGGTATCTTCTGATGGAGCTCTTGGGAGCTGGGAGTGGCCACGGATCCATCGTAGCGGCCTCCGGTGAAGAGGAGAGGTGAAGCAAGCATATCTAGAAGCAAAGTCTTTGATCCTGCCATCAGCATGTTTGCTTTGGACAGGGAACAGAACAATGACCGAAGTGCATGACTTGCGCTATGAAACAAGCATTGCTCTGCTATGGCAATGGGCAAAATGACGGACGGAATTCCTCATGTTTTTGAGATATCTCACGATCTACCATGCCTAAAAAAGGATGCGAGGGTCGCTGCGATCCACAACAACAAATAGTGAATGAACATCTTGAGGAAACACAACCTGGAAAAACATGAACAAACGATGAACCAAGGAAACACTTTCTGAGTAGCATGAGTACTTGGACATCAGGTCCAGTGGATCAAACAATAAGGAGCTCACTGCATCAAGTGGAGGTTTCCTGCTAGGCCGCGCCTGGCGCCCGCAACAAATCAAGCTCCAGCTTCGACAGATTCCTTTTTAACATCTTCTAACCACACCATCGCTGACTTCGCAAAATCAACTCACCCAACACTCCTGAAAAAAATAATAAAACATCTGGAATTACATCCGACAACATGATCAAGGGGGGGGTCAGGTGATCGTCCAGCTTTCAACCAGTCAGTCCTTCCCGACCACAGCGCCCCCCGTTTCGCTTTCAACCAGAGCCGAACCGTGCAGCGGAGGCGGAACGCCTGTGGAGCTTTTCGAAGAGATCGGAGAGCCGCTTTGACGCGTGGAGACGTCCTTGCAAAAACCCGGCACAGGTGGGACACGTCAAACGGTCCCTTTCCGGTGTTCCTGAAACTCTCGAGACGAGGTTAGACAGAGAACCTCTCTTTGGGGAGTCCCAAGAGAGTTACTTGGCTTCATTCGGCTATGCCTAGGCCGGCGGCCTAAAATGGCCCTCCTAGACCTTGCAAAAGCCTCCCGTGATCGGCAAAAATCAGCTCCTAACATCCAACCTTTCACTCTTTGGAATGACTGACCAACTTCCACGTGAGATAGAACTGGATCCATTTGAGAACTGTCAGTGTACTTTGAGGAATATTATGTCATTCCCCCAGATGCATCACCTGGACCTAGATAGATTCTTTTAAACAAACACATTACCTTCCGGCAAAAGACAGCAACTTTTCTGAGTCGATCCACAAATTTGTGTTCAACCACTGCATCCAAAGCCCCCGTGTCACGCATCCATCAAGTGGCCGACGTACCACTGGGCGATGGCCGTGCACAGGTCAGCACTGGCTCAGGCTCATTCCGTGTGTGGCTGGGGGAGTGGTCCTGCGCGTCCGCAGTCTGTAGCGAGACCATCGGTAGAGTCCCCCCGGTGTCAACCTGAGACAGAACCAATTCGAGATCTCATTGCTGTTTTCCGGAACTTGGAAAGAATAGCTCTCAACATCTCTCAACCAATAGTACTCATTAAGTCTTGGATGCGGCAAGAATTGGCCAACTTGGTTGCCTTACCGAAGTAATTCAGTTAGTGATTTGACTCAATGTCATGCCAAGAAAGCCATGTCGGCGCAAAAACAAAGCTCGGGAGCGGTGACTTAGACCACGCACCTCTGGCGACGGGAAGTGCCCCACACGGGAAGGTGACATGGGTGACGAGGGCCGATCCTCAAGGCAGGCGAAGCTGAGCTTCAATGTTTCATTGAGCTTTTTATGATGCAACGTGCAAACTGCATGTTTGAAGTCACATGTGTGAACCTGCTTGCAGAAATCCATGACTTGCTTCTATATGTTTCCATGCTCTTCTGACAGAATCGCATGCACTCTGAAGGTTGAATCAAGCTGAATAAAGATGAATGAAGCGAATAAGAAGTCCCAGCATGTCTGCACGATGGCAACTTAGTTTTGTTCCAAGCCTTCCATCCTGTGAAGACTTGCCAAGCAACCAATGTTCACTGCGACGAGTCCTTTTCTGTGGTGGTACGGGTGATCACAAAGCCTGGTTTCACCAGGTCTTGTTCTTCATGTCGAGCGCCCGTTTGCCAATCAAAACCACGCAAGGCCCGTTCACCGGCATCGCGTGCTCCGAGGCATGGGATCAGTGAAAACCAAAGAAACGCCGATTGGTGGCATGGTAGTGTTTCCTCACAACTGCAAAGATCAAAAAGGACGAGGTTGCGATGCATGCGCCTTGTAGCCACTCATCCGCGAGGAGCACAAATGTTAACCCTTCCAACGCAGCAAAGAAAATAAGCGAGGGCATGGCCAAAGCGACTACCAGGAAATCTTTGAACAGCTCTGTGCATATTGACTGCCCCTGTGCCCTGAAGCAGCGTGCGAAAAAAAAGCGCAAAAGTCCCAGCGGTTGGAAGCGTCCAAAGCCAAATGGAAAAAGCCCTGATGGTGTGTAGTGGGACATGGAAAAAGTCATCATGAGACTGCCAAAAAACAGCCAAGTCAATAACAGACCACAAGATTGGCGCAGTGGTCCCAAGCATTAATGGATACTCAATTGCATCGCTTCCCATCTGTTGCTTTAGCGCGGAGGCAACGACTGACCGGACGGAATTGTCAAACTCTTCCTCAGAGCCATACCAGCGCATGATACACTGGCAAACGGTTTCTCTATCACAGAGCTGAATTGGCTGCCCGCTCGCAGGGTTTACATGATTGACACTGCAACACCAGCAACGGCACTTCTGCAGTTGAAATTGCCGCAGCCGCTGATTGGTGGCCTCTAGTGATCTAAAGTATCCACGGAAGGCATGAACGAGGTATAGGGCTTGCATGGCGGCAAACAGGAGCACCACAGGCCAAAAGATTGCATTGTCAAACGGTTCCACCAGGACAAAAACGCCCTGTGCGAACATAGAAACACTGCCGAGGCACGCTGTCCAACCCAGCAAAAGAGGCTTGACCTGGACCATCCCTGGTTTCTCTGCGACCGCTTCTGGATGAGCCCTGAGAAATGCAGCTATCTCGAACATACACCAAAGTCGATCTGCATAGGATTCGTCCCACACAACCAAAAGGGACTTGGAAGCCTTAAGCACAGCTCCAACGTTTAGGATTCCTTCAGCCTTCATGCTGCGGTCAAACTGATTGATACACATTCTGTCCACAAAAAACGGTGCTTCTCGATCTCCAAAAAGCAAACGTCACGAGCCACAGGATCAGTCCGACACAAGAACACCAGCAATAGAACTGCACTCCAAGCTTGAGGAACATGCAAGGTATCATCATGAGCAAAGATCCAAGAGTTCCAATCACACATGCAGGTAAGAGGTTCTTCAAGACCATCAACAGCAGAATCTTCTGCCAACTTTTCACCTGCCAGCTATGGCTCAAAAACACGTCGACATGCTGCTCAGCTTCGCTGAAGTGATAAAAATCCTTACTTCCAGCCGCCCAGAACACCTGTCCCAAGCAAATCAACATCTGGTACACACGAACAGCGCGAATCATCTCAGGGCGGGTTGACTGGAAGCATTCCATCAGACGAATAAGCTGTTCACGTCGAGCGATAGACTCGTCAGCAGTGTGGTCAGGCTGTTCATCTTCCTCATTCTGTCCCAAAGGGTGTTCATTTTCTTTGGGAATCTCCTCTTCTAAGTCAATGCCGGCAAAGCCATCATTGACCGTGTGGGGATCGCCTTCCGTATGGCTGGCAATCTCGCCCTCAAGGCCTTCAGAGTCCATGGCAGCACGAGTTGATTTTCCAACGGAGAGACACTATGGAAACGAGAGTCACCATTGCTCTCAACCCAGGGGACCGGTCTGCGCCCATAAGACGTTTCTAAGAAACATGTCTGAAAGCCCTCAGCTTTTCGAAGTAGCACCTGCAAGAACCAGTGGGGACCAATGTTGCCATCATCGTCATCGTCGTCCAGTGTCTGCTTGTTTAAAGGGAAATCCGGTGGCAAGCACCACGAATTAGGTCGCTGCTGTACCACCAAACTGTCAGGTGCTCAACACATTTCAGTGTTGACGATGTGGATAGGTATACATGGCTAAGTGCCCCGAGAATCTGAAATTGGGTTGGGTTCTGCTTGCCAGGTGACTGAAACAAGCCAACAAAAAACACTTCGATGTTCCATCCTATAAGAACCCAGGGCATCTTGAGAAGGTAGGGACTGCCCAGCTACCCCATGATTCCATAATTGATCTTTTCAGAAGTTTCTGATGCTTTTTGAGTCAACTGCCTTGCCAGGGTCCAAGATCTAACTGCTGAGAAGATGTATATATATATACATATATCACCGTTTGAATCTATTTGCCTGGGCCATGCCGGACACAAACAAACAACGAAAGGTATTGCGATCGCTTCCCATCTCGCTCAGCCAAAGCTCCAAGGGCGGAGCGGTGGCTGCCTGCAAGGGCCAAAGCACTTTGGTTCAACTGAATGAGTCTGATGAGCAGCTTTGGCGGTCGAGTTGGCCCATGTCGCTTCGAGGTGCTTCGAGGATATAAGATGATGTAAGGTGAACCAGCGAACTGGCCAGGAAATTCAAGAGCTCCCACAGCTGTGGGACACATCCAAAGGCCCACAGTGAAGAAGGGATGATCCATTCTGGTTACTTGTCCATTTGGCATAATCCAAAACAATGTTCGTCAAGTTCTGATGACTTACAGCACCTGCGACCTGATTTTAGGTCTGCCCAGCCAGTTCCCAGAGACTTGCTTTGAGGTCTCAACTGGTGACCGATGCTTTTTGAACAGGTGACCAACTGACCTATGTTGCCTGTTCTTGATTGTTCTTGTTTCGGATATTCTGGGGTTGATCCTTTGCATATCTCACTTCCAGCCACCACCCACATCACCAGCCGCGTGTGAAAAACCGACCCAACTCATCGACCCGCCTTGCGCAAGCTGGGTGGCTCCGGCTCCTAGCACTGCCGACTCCGCCCTCCGCCTATATCCGAGGAGTATCACAGGAGAAAGCCTAAACTGGGGAATTCTTCATGAATCTTCAAGAAACATTCCGCTTCCAGCCTTTTTCCAATCCTGAAAGTTTGTGATGCATCAGTCCTGAAGTAATTCCTCAAGATCAGCACGCTCCAAGCACCCCTGCAGGCATTCAAATCACAAAAACAAAATTGAGCACAGACCGCCACTCCTTATAGGTCAAACGGACTTTGTTCTGGTGACTTAGGTCCTGGAGTCCTGGTGTTAGGACTATGAGGAGTCATGGATCCCCACACAAAACGACCGGGTTTTAATGCTGGCTCACTCATGGGGGAGGCATCAAAACACCACTGGTTCCTAGGTCCAAAAGGCACAGCACATCCATGCATATATATATATATATGCTATATATATATTATACATTATTATACCATCTGGCGTGAGTCCATTGGGCATAGAGCCAAGTGCCATAACGAACAAACCGACATCGTCCCATCGGCCTGTCCGGAGCAGAGACAAACCGTTTGCATGTCTTGTACATCGGACCGGGTCCTCTCTTTGGATTTCAGGCCATGAAGCCATCTTCACACCCTCCCGAGGAGCAGAAGCACCAATCTTTCCACTTTCAGGAATTCCACCTGTACCGCCATCTCCGACAGATCATGCCCCGTGCTGCCGGTGCCTTGGTGGAGATCTGTCGCCGCTCACATTCCGCCAAGAGCTCCCCGACCGCCGGGCGGGAGGAAGGACTCTCGGGCGTCAAGGGCTCCTGGGGCGAAGTGCGGCGTGGGCGGAAGTACTGGGTGCCGCTGGCACTGCACTGCACTGCACTCAGTCTCTCAGACTTCTTAAGTGTGTTTGGGCGAACTTCAACAGGGCTTCGCCCTCTTCAATGCGAGCCCAAACCGAGCAGGCAGCGCGCCTCAGTGTTCTCTGACCTGACCATGACGAACAGCAGAATATGAACAAAGGCTTCATATGGAGGAGTAATCAAGACTTGAGGCAAGCGGTACAGACTCTAGACTTAAATGATCTTAGACGGGGTCAAGTTGGTGACTCAAATTTCTGAGACCTTCTGAGAGACATGACTCAGGCACCACTCAAGAGGTTGCCTTTGAGACACCTGCAATCGAGATCTTGGCTGGGAATCATTGGTCTCTTCAGGTCTACACTGATCTTCAGATCTTCTGGGGTCCTCCCATCGGCCAATCCTTGCAGTGTCAGAATTCCTTAGACATCTGCAATCTCAACACGTCTGTCTATGGCATAAAAACTGCCAGATCGGCCTCTCTTTGGGATCCTGCACTGCCACCTGGCGCCGTGTACCCGAGCAACGGGGCATCGAGTGGAGGGGCGCTGTTGTGCACCCTGTGGTGTTCTGCACACACGGTTGCAGACTAACACAGCCCAGTGGGTCTGAGGAACATGTCCGTTGTCTGGAATTCCAATGGCATTGGCGTTCCAGCTTTAGTGCAGAGTTGTGACATGCTCCGGATCGCATGCGGATCGCATGCTACCAGCAGTATGGAGTTCAAGTTCTTCTTTCAGGGCAACAGCAACTCTCTCTCTCTCTCTATCTCTCGTTCTCTCACTATCGCTCGGCAGCAAAATAGAAAGCAAACACTGAAAGGATGAGCTCATTATAGAAACCCGAGAAAAGACAAGTGTCAGTAGCCACATTCCTAAGCCAAAGGGACTCCCCAAAGAAGCAAAACGGTGGTCCGCTGCTCCAAAATGGGGTGTTCCTCTACGAATCCTCCTGGTTTCCCCATCCCCCCCAGCCCCCGCAGCCTTCTTCTGTCCTCGTTTTGTAAGACAAAGTAGGAGGCAAATGCAGCAGCAGCAAGCGCCCGCGAGACTTCCCAGCACCGCGGGCAGTATCACCAGGATCGACGTCTCATCACTAGAACCTCAGCGTCAAAGCTCCAAGTCATGGTCATCCAAAGATTTTCCAGCTTGAACAGCAAGATCCAACATCTTAAAGTATCAGTATCATCATTTGCACGATGTCTTCAGATGTCTTGGGTCAATCTATCTGGCGTGCACATCCTACCTTTCAAAACTTTCTGACAAACCAGGCCGCTGCCGCTGTCGGCGTCGGGGCCCTGGCCCTCGCCGGTGACCTGCCGGAAGTGGCTTGGCCGGTCTCAAGGATCTGTGGTCTCAATCTGTGATGATTGGATCTGTCCCAAGTTCAAGGCAAGATGATGTGAGACCTATGTCATTTTGCCGGTATAGACCATTTGGCCAGTCTTGCTCTGCAGCCGGAGAGAGCTCAACAATGTGGAATCGTTTTCCCCCACCCACCAATCACCGCCCACCCGCGAGTGTCACCCATGTGATAAATGCTCAATGACTCAATGCCCGGAAGCGTGCCGTGATGAGGCATTGACACTCCCGTCGTCTGGCCGGCTCTGGGCCGCTGCAGCCCTCGGCAGAATTGGAGAGGCAAACCACCTGAGACGAGGAGAAGAGGGTCTCCCATCGAACTGAGCTGCGTCAATCATTGAACTTTAAGGCTTTGCAGCACTTGGCATTGAGACCCACAGCATGACACTTGCACGTGCCAACATATGGATCGCTAACTGTATAAACATGCCATACATGAGATTCCTGAACAAATGCCATAAAGCCTTCAAGCATTGCCTGATTGCAAACCTCTTGCAATCAATGTCCTCTGGAAAGGAGTGGGGTTTTGTGGGAGTGAAATCCATCATACATGATATATATATATATATATTGCTTTTGGGGGTAAGTAATATTTGGAGTCTCAACAGAGCTGATACCTTTGGAGCCATGAAACAAGCTTTTCTTATGTTAACCAATGGACTACTTGTTCACTAAACCATACCCCCAACAAAAACGTGTCGATCTAGACCAAATGATTGCTCTTGTTTGTTTATTCTTTCAGGTCTTGTTATACTAAGCCCATCGGCCTGACCAAGTTGGACTCAAAAATTGATCCCCCAAATCTCTTCGGGGCCTCGCGCTCCTGCATGCCCTCACCGTGGCACACGGCGGTGGCGGACCGGCAGCTGGACCAGCTGGAGATCTGCCAACCACAGGTCGGCGGCCTAGAGTCGTTTGTCCAACTTGGTATGTGGAGCTCAAAAAAGGAAACCAGGCTCCCTACCAACAACCCCCTGTGAAGAAGTTCTTTAGATACACATGTTATTGGTCGAACATGCAGGTGCGAGAAAAACATCAAAAACAAACAATTCTTTGGCCGAGAACAATGACATGCCGAATCAAACTTGTAAACAAACGCAAACACGTGCTTGGTTGGTAATGAACCATCTTATATTTACCAAAAGCATGCAAAACGGAATTAATGTTGGTTCAAATGTGTCGAACAAAGTGTATAGCTTTTTTGGGTATTGCCAACCCTCACCACTGTTAGCAGGATCTACTGTCAGGCTCCTGATCAAACGCCGGCGCTGCCAACAAGACATTGTCAAACAACTACTGTATACAAGACACTACAAGTCGATGCCTGGGTGCCCGGATTCGCCTTTACCTTCTTCTCCAATCAAATCGGTCGCTCGGATCTTCCCACGTGGAACTTTGCTTACTTCGCTTCTTTGAGGCTCTCAGAGTCCATCATTGATTCCTGCTTCAGAACATTTTAATCCATGTCGGCCATTTAGGAACTTGCGACTTGCCGCCAGTTCATTTTGGCCACTTCGATCAATCAATCTTTGCCATCTACTAATTGTCAGCCTCACCCTGTTGAGACACCTCCCCTTCGGTGTCTCCCTAGCCGTAGCCAGCCTCGTGAGGTGGTCCGGGCACGGCTGACTGCTGGAAGGCTTGTTGAGGCCACAAAAGCCGTCAGGCCGCACGGTCGCCAAGTCTGGAACCTTGGCGCACCAGACCTCGCGGTACCTGGCGATGATGTGAATGTTGTGTAGCTACTAGTAGCAAGGTGCATCGCTACGAACGGAGCGATCGTCCGCTACTCGGGGCGCTCCTGGCATTGCTGTTAGTAACAAGAAGCTACGCACGGTGGAGGCCGGACCCGAGGAATTGCAGCAAGGGTATCAGATCTAAATTGATAAGCAATGCCCTTGGATTTGCTTGGGTAGTGAGGGCAGTGGCCCGAAAGTCAGAGGTCAGGGCCAGGGCCAAGTTCCTACTCATTGGAAGAGGCTAACGGCTAGCCATCTTGCCACCCATCCACATTGAGGTCCTGAACCAAGAAAGCCAAGCAGGGCTTCGCAGTCTGCAAGCCGAACCTCCAAGCCAAGCCTCCTCACCCCAAGCCAATCCCACCCCCCGGTTCCATGGACCCAACCCCACAGAGGTCCGGCTGCAAAAGACAGAGTTCACAACTTGAAGTTCGGGGCAAACTCATTCAGTGAGTTGACGGCACATACCCCACCGTTTCTTCACTCGTCATGAGAGGCTGCAATGCAGCTTCGTGTATGTGGACATATGCAAACCTGCCCCTGTTGACACAAACACATCAAGGGGTTCTTGCTTCAACTGATGACCACACGTCATGTAAAAAAAAAGTTCAAGGGCTTTGACGATTGAGGGATCAACGGATTCCGAAGCCAGTCCTTATCCTTGGAGGATCGAAAAAGGATGTCTTGGGCAAATCAAATCGCTCCCCAAAAGGATGGCCTTTTCGGCTTTGGACCAATCCAAGCATCACTCCGCTGGCCTCAAGGGGATCTCCAAATCGTTACAAACAGCATCGCCTGCAACAGTTTAGCTGTTGGTGTCCGAACGGAGTTTGGCTCTGTGTGTTGTCCGTCAGTCGCAACCACTCTGTCCTCTTACGTGCGCCGAGAGCGTGTCGCTTGTGGCTCGTATATGCACAAAGAACGAATTGGCAGTCACAGCCTTCCGAGTCTCAGAGCGAAAATCAGGTCCCATCGGAGCACCATAGTCAACGTCTTGAACAAGGGAAGACACAGCTTCAACAAGGGAAGCGGCTACAGCGCTAAGTTGTGAACAAGGGAAGCGGCTGCTCGAATGTTTCAGACTTGATGTACAACTGAGCTCCCTACCGGCACCAGTATAGGCAAACACACCCAAGGGCGGTGGCTTACTACACGTCTCAAGGAATACCCGGGAGACCTTTGCAACCTGTTTGCCCAGGTTTTCTTGGCTTCACAGCCGGAGGGTGAGGTGACGTGTGATTTGCCAGTAGCAACATACAAAAACAATTTTCTTGCTACTAGTAGCGATGGCCTCCACGCTTAGTAGCGATGGCCTCCAACTTACTAGCTTTTTGGTACTAGTTAGACAACACTACAAACCAACCATCCCAAGGAATATAGACACTGCCAAAGCACCTCCAAGAACATCACCCCAATTATTATGTAGGCCATGTTCGTGTGTGTCTTGCCACATTTATATGTATGAGCGTGGCAAAGGTCAATTTGCACATCTACTGCTAATTTGTGGGTCATAGGGCAACTGAAAACTCGAGCGGGGTGATTCCTATATGGTAGCCAGGGTACTATATGACACGGCAACATCATTCCCGGTTGAACATGAACCTGTTACCCAGAAGGTAATCATTGTCATCAAACAGACCCGTATTTGCAATTCTCATGAATTTCCACGTAATGTATTCCATCAGGCAACCATTGAATGCACAGCTGTTTCACTTCGAGCACCCGTTTGGGGTGCATTGCATCCTCAAGACTGGAAACCTTTGAGTCGATTGATTGCAAAAATTTAACACAACTGAGTAGTTGCTGCAGTTGCTGTGGTTCATTGATGGGAGAAAAGGGATTGACATGGCTCAAGCAGCGGAAGGTCCTTCAATACCCGATCGTCATTGCTGCAGGGCAGCAACCCCAAAGCCTCCGCAAGGGCCCCAGCGTGACGCAACAAACCTGAGTTTTGTGGGGAACATCATAAGCAGAAACGTAGGGAAACATAAAAACATTTGTAGAAACTCGGTCATTTATATATAGTTATATATATATATATCAAGGAACTGATTTAAAAAAACAGTTCCTATTTCCATTTAACAGGTTTCACAAGTCTGAACGCACAGCAGGTTAGGACAATCACCTCTGTTGGAGCACATTGGACAAGCATACATTTTCTTACTACCCAACATTCTCGTACTGCCAACAAACTGTTTTGGAACGACATTTAGTTTTGAGGTGCGCAATATGATATTTGCAAAGGACCAAATTTTAAGTTAAACATCAATTTTTTGCAACACTGCCCCCTACTGGTGGGGAGTATCAGCCAGGGTGCACAGACTCCACGCGCTGAGAAGATGGAGAGGTGAAGCGAAGGCTAACCTGCAGAAGACATGGTTCTTGCAGTCAGCGCCTCGTTTGTATTCTGCCAACCCTGCAATCCCCTGCAGATTCTAAAGCCGAGATGCATTTTCTCCCGTTGCCAAGCCATAGTTCTCAATCACCTGCTCAAAGCGAAGGCCGGATGCTTCGCTTATGCTCCTCAACAACTTGAAGGAAGCAAGCATATACCAGCATGGTCTGAAGTCACCCGCATTGGGTGCGGACAAGAGATTCCTCACAGTCACAAGCTCATGCAAGCGTTGCTGTGACAGTCCTCATGCTCGCTTTAGGCTGGCATGAAACTTGCCAAAAGAACATCGACTATTATTGACTACAAATGCTCCTGATTGCGACAGGCTACAAGTATGTTGGCAACGAGACACTCTATCAGCCAGGGCCGTCCTGCACTGGTTGTTTTTGCGGTGAGTCTGTGACCAACTCACGTTTGTTTGGCTGTTTGAGCTCAACATGTGCATAGCGTGTTTCAAACACTGCCTGGAATTCCCTCGCTTTCTCCATCTTCCTAGATTTGACCCACATGATCCAAGATCTTCCTGGGAGCATTTCCAAGATCATCCCAAATCCAGGTGTGTTTCTGCTTCTTGGACACTGTTGCTTCGGAGAGGGAGGGTCGAAGACGGGTCCGGTCCGGGTCCGTCCAACGCACGGTGAAACAGCCGATTTCGCCCAGCCCGAACGGTCGGTTTAAGTAGACACGACTCATGCATTGAAACAATCCCTAGTCTCTAACGGATTCCTCCCAATGAGATACGAATTCATGTTCATCACAAGGACCCAAGGATTGACACGTACTTTAAGTCCCCTTTGATGTCTTTCATCATGACGTCCCTACGAATCTGCCCACACTGTTCTTCCAGGTCAATGGATTCATCCGGGGAAACACGAACTCCGGGGAATCCGTCGGCTCGCCGATTTGTGCAAAGGCCTGGAGAAAACTGGTGGACCCAAAAGGCAAAAAAGGAGGCTCCAAATGGCTCCCCAAACAGGAAACAGGTGTTAAACATGGTCTTCCAGGGCATGTCATTGTGGTTTCTACTTGGTCTGATGGATCACCCTTGGCAACCCAGGATGACCTCATCAAAATCATTAGCAAAATCATTCAGCAACGGAAACGCCATATGCCACTGTGTTTGTTTGGACTTTGTTGGAGGCTGCCCCACTGCCCTACACTGCAAATTGTCCATGGGCCACCTAAACGAGCAATTTTGCTAGCATTCAGCAAACGTAGTGGCCAAACACGGGTGGTTGCACGGTGCACACTGCATGCACTCCACACAAACAAATCGACATTTGATCAACAAAGGACACCTCCAACTGGAACTCACTCTGGTGACGATGGTGGTGCTCATTAGTGTCTTGATGTTTCATGTTGCTGCACGAGCGAGACCCATTGCGTAGACAAGTTGACAAGCCAAGTTTGCATACTTAGTAAGTTACAAACAACTGTATTCTGTAGTTGTTGTCAAATCACCGGTCCCGTCATATGAGCAGCAAATTAAACACAAAAGAAACACATGCTGACACTGATCCCTGTTCATGTCCAATCAAGTCCAATCCGTGCATGTCTCACTTTTGGGTAAAAGTACTGTAGATCTTCAGGCACAGGATGGCACAGCATTTTTCTGTTTGGAGCGAACTTCTCTTTGTCCTTCAATCGCTCCTTTTTAATGTCAAAACGGACCAGAAACCGCCTGCACGTGGTTCAATCAGCTGCTTCGCGTTTCCATCTTGTAAGGGCCCATGTTGGAACATAAACAACTGGAATCGAGGTCTCCGAGCCTGGCAAATCAAAAGGACGTTGTCCCATACTTTCTATAAAGACTTCCAACTTCCAATAAACCTTTCCCCATGACCACAAAAAATGAACCAAAGACATGTGATATCATGTGATCATGTACTCCGCATGGCCACAGCCCAAAACATACGCCTTGTTTGCGGGTGATAGGCCTGGACGGGCATGGACCTAGTAGATACCGCGTCACTTGTGTTGACCCCATGGCCGGTTGCGACATCTGCAGATGTCGAAGCTGCGTCGAATCCGGCGAACGGCCGCATATCCGAATTCCAACTCCCAAATCCATTTCATCCAATCGATTAAAATCCCAAATCCATTTCATGTTGTTCTCTTCTTTCTCCTCACCCCGTCAGAATTCATATGCGGTCCGTAGACCGTACACATCGGTACACCCAACACGTTCAATCCCAACCCATCAACTCTCCCCGCCACACACCCCGACCATCCCTGAGCCAATTCCTTGCCACACACCACACCCCGCATACACGCCCCATCCATCCCGCGTATTCCACCAATTCATGGCCCACCCGTGGCTCTTTAGGCTTTTCTGGAGCCACCGCACCTCGGTGAGCAACGGAATCAGCGGCTCCGGGTCTTCCTTCACCGAATTCACGGCCGCCAAGGCCTGCGCTTGACGCGCGCGCTGAGCATCGCGATCTGGTGGGGTTTCAAGAGCGGGTGGGTGGACCTGTGACAGCGGGGGGGGGTAGTCCTGAAGACTCATGACTCCAACACAACGCCTGGAAATGGTGGAAAAGGACTCCATTGACTCGGTGCAAGATGTTTGTCTAAGCAGTACTTCTGCGGGGCAGAACGCAGTCTCTACGTGCCTGGTCCACCGTCATGCCTGAACCTTCTGGCAGCAGCAGCCTCAGGACTTTCCACAGAAACCAATGTGGCACTCGACCTTCCCACAACAGGCTTTGTATCATCTTGGTTTATGTTGCTCTTCCCAGACATCTTATATATAGGTGTTCCAATCTAAAAAACACATATACATACATGCACACATGCCATGTAGTTTATCAGTGGCATCCAAAGCTTCAAACATCTCAAGTCGGACTGTGTTGTTCCATGAAGAATTCGATGAAGAACTCAAGCAATTTTGGATTTCAACAAACAACACCTACAGCGCCTACAGTACCTTTCCAAGAGTTCCATAAATCGTTTCCGCGGTACCCATTCTCGTCAAACACATCCACCACATCGAACTCCTCTGGCGTTTGACTTAATTTCACCGTGGCTGGACTCAGCGTGAGATGGACCCTCTTCAGCGTGAGAGCCAGCGGGACTGCTTGGTAAGGTGACGGCAGTGGATGCTCATGACATGCTGAAAAGATCAACCATGTACCCTTGACATGCAGTAGACGCCCATGTTGGTTTTCACAATGGCCAATGACCTCACAGATTTCGAGAAACCTGTTGTACACATCTTTTGGCTCAACAGCACGAGGTTCTTTCATGTTCTTTCGGCTTCATACCGCACGGGAACCGCACGTGACCTCTCGAAGCCTGGGCGGACGTCCAAGCGCGTTCATGAACCAATGGTTTCAGAGGTTCAATGGCACAAGGGCCCCCAATGTCAGTAGTTTAAATATAGACCCCCATCTGTCTAAGACATTTTTAGGGGTGCCAGTGCCATCTACTCTGAAACCACTGTAAAAGCGTTCACCGTCTGCAAAATGCAACAGGTTAGAAGACGCCGATAGAAAACCCTCCACTGAACCTCGTCGTACGCGCCTGAGACTGGGCAAAGCTCCCCATGAGACATATACAACTGAGGAAACCGTGTAGCAACGCAGCAACTCATGTCACTACTGGTCAATGAGACTGAATAGGCAACCAACAGGGAGAACTCCTTGTTTGGGTTTGACAAATTGGGCTCTTGGGTTCCTGGACGCTTCAACAAAATACCGCTGTTTAAATGGGACACTGAGTGAACAGCCAACCCATAGTTCGATAAAGCACGGTAATTGATGATCCCCCATCAAATCAAGGGTTCGACCGTGCTAGTCTTGTGCTTGGCCCAATTGAAGGAATACACCCCCCCAAAAAAAAGCAAAAACACTTCCTGCCACCCAGTTGCTGAAACTCTGTCTCTAGCGCCGGCTCTAGGCTGCTCCGCACCGCCGTGCGCCGGCTTAAGCTACTACTGCTCCACAGCGCCTCCACCTGGTCCGGGGATTTGAGCCCCTGAAACGGTCACTCTTGAAGAAACTATTACCACTTTTGAGGTTCAAGTTTCTGATCACCACTCCTGGTCCGGGCAACGTGAAGAACAAGTACGTAACATTGTCTGTATATCCCGTCAGAAAGTAGTAACACCTGTTCAACCGATTCATTCTCATTGGGGGACTACTATAGATTACTAAATCAAACAAGTCTCAACTCATGAAAAAACAACTCAAACAATTGAAGCCAACGCAAGGGCATCATCTCACACCAAGGATGGCTCTTCATGGATCCATGGCAGCAAGGACTTCTTGATTCCGAGTTGCGTGGGAAGGCCACGACTTGGGTATCATGGCCCTATGACTGGAGCTCTAAGTCTTTGACGCACCCGAGCGGTTGGGTTCTATCCACAGAATTTGGGGTATCGGTATAACGGTATAACCTTGCTCATGTCATCAAATAAGTAGTAATAAGTAGCAACCAACCTGAACTCACCCCGCATCACGTCCATATTGTCTGTTTGCCAATATAAAAAAGGATGCTTGAGTGGATCTGTTCTTTGTGGCAAAACCCCGTGCCTCCAAACGTCGTGCATTCTCAGGCCGAAACATGGCCTCGGACAAGCAGGGCCGGAAATGGAAACGTCGTAGCTGTGGCTGGACCTGACATTGCTTGTGCATAACTTAGGTGTGACTCAGTTTGATTGCAAAGGCTTTGCCCAAAAAAAACAAAATGCAGTTCTATCCCTGCACATGAGGACCGCCCAAACCAATCATTGAATGATATTCAATAATTATGTTTTTGTTTTTAAAGCAAGCTCTGCTTACAAATGCTTATTGATCAATCAATAATGACATGCTTTACATCCGAAAAGTACCTGACTTTCAGCGACTGATGCGAGATGGGCGCCCTGATCACTCGTCATGAACTCTCTCAGATGAACTGAGCCCATCTGATGAAAGGGGCAACAAGAAACGATCTCAAGCCAACCAGCAAGAAAAAACAGTTCAAATGCTTGCAGGGAGCAAAAGGACCTTGTTGTTCCTCTTACTCTCTCTTACTTTTTTCAGCTTTGTTCCCTGGAAACACACTCAAGTGGCCCAATGACCCCAGAATGTGAGCTGTTTGCTCCGGGAGTTGTTGATAGATTGCAGGTCCGAGGTATGTTGAACGCTAAGAACAAGGACTCAACATCAAAGTGGTTTTGACTTTGACATACGAAGTGAGGAGCTGCCAGCCAAAAGAGTGCTCCAAAACCTATCAGCTCCAGCCACCCCAAAATTAGACTCGGAAAAACACAAAGGAAGAACCAACTGCAAACACGCAAAGACACAACGAAAACAATGGTCATAAATTTTGCCATAGCAAAAACCCAAAGAATTAACATCTTGTTTTGTCGGATGTCCAAAAATTCAACGTGGGCTCACCAAGCAAACTAGCCCCTCTTGTAGCCACGGATCCGCCACAGCAGCTTTGACGGAGATCACGTCCACAGCTGACCGCTGCCTAACCGGTGGGGCGTTTGGAGGCACATGGAGGTCATCAAGTCATGGCATCTGTTGCAAACAAGGCGTGACAAATGTGTGAATTTGAGCCTCGAGAGCAAGTGCAAAAACAAAGAGAAGCCTGTAGCTGGGGCTGTCTGTTGTCTTCAAAAATAGGAGCACTGTCTGAAGTGAGGACTCCACCAACTCAAATAGTGTGCATAAGGACTCTTGATTTTTGACATGGTGTTGACATGTGTTCTTGGGTGAGCTGGGTTATTAAGAAATCGGTACACATGAGGGGATCTCTGAGAGAAGCAACCAAAAGCACCATCTTAACGCAGGAGAACGTCACACAGCAACAACTGCACCAGCACTGAGTCATGTAAACAGCACGGAAAGTATGACAAAGAAAAACACATCCCCAAAGCATCCATTCTCCCTCTCCCCAAAACACTCCTATCATTTATTTCATCCAGGATTGGGTCGGGCTGAGAGGTTGAGGTTAAGGATCCTTTTCCGTAACACCAGTGCTCTGTTCCTTTGTGCTGCTGATGTTCTCTTGTCTATTCAACTGGTCCACGTGTTTCAATCTTGTTTCCATTTGTTTCCCATCTCGAGCTTTCCTATCACGCCAAGTGGCAGCTGGAAACTGGTCGCCAGTGCTGTGGCCAGAGCGTCATCGATGCCTGCCAGTGCTGGCATCGAACACCACCAAAGCTTACTCGGTCTGGAGTAGTCTGGAATATATATAGTTTTGCGGTGAAACGGTCCTCATGCAAAGTGCAATCCATCTCGTCAATAAGCTATAACAAAATCAACCGTGTCTTGTAAGTTATCTTGGATTATCTCACAGTATGTTTAGAAGATGGACACAGTCCCGCTTTGCCAGCAACCCAAGGCTTCCCCGATTCTTCCTCAGGACCTTGGAACCGGACGTTGGGTTCCCTCGTTCCCCACCCATCGTCATTCATCGTTGACGACCGCAGATCCAAAAAGGAGTGCGCCCCCCCGCATTGAGATTCGCTCACAGCGGGATTTGCAGGAGCCAGCTACGGATTCAAAAGAACATGATTGGTACAGGAGAACTGAGATGCCAATGCCGCAAGAGCTTCCCCCCAGCTTTGCGGCTGAAACGTCTGCGCCTGTTGGAGTTTGATTGGTCCCCACCAGCAGTAGAATACCTTGGATTTGCTGTCCAGAATCCTGGAAAAAAGCAAAACGGTATGGAAAATTAAGAGATACTCCAGGATCTCTCAATTTTCCAAGGTGTGGGGATTTAGTCATTTATGGAAAAAAAGCTGAGAGCACCTTAAATCCGCCCAAACCATGATACTCTGCACGAAGTTCGTGGTCTGGATGGGTGCGGCCAAACGCACCGTCCTCAGTTTTGGGCGGCGGTTGTCGCGAATGAAGAGCCATGACCAAACGAGGCCATGTCGCATGTCCATCCCGTTATAAGGAAAACGATAACTAATTGACCATAGTCATACTCTCCTGCTGGTCCGACAATGTCTGTGTCCAATGCAATATGAAGGCTACCATCTCTGCAATAAACAGCCTATCCCTGAAGACCTTTTGAGAACGGAGGTACTGTTGCATGACTGAGCCTCCCAACCATTCCCTGTCTTGACACGTTCGAGTGGCAGCGTGGTGGTGCTGCTGGTACTACTGGTGCTTGTGTGGCTTGAACTGGTGCTTGTCCTTAGTGGCAACCAGCAGGTACCACTGCCCTCTTCACCCTCTGGCTTCTAGATATACACGCAAGGTTCGAACTGCGATTCCGTGCAATACCTACTGACAGGGGAGGTTGCTACATGTTGCTACACACACAACATACACACAACATAATACAACATAAAGCAAACTAATGCAGTCATCAGTCATTTTGCCTGTTTGGTGACACTTGACACACACTTGACACCATCATGGGCTCAGCCACAAGAAGAACCACATGAGTTTGAGGAGACAAGAATAGGTGAATGCACCCCATGGGTTGGGTCATGGCATTCAGGTACGCTGTGACCTGTCAAACAAGCTTGACTATCGGTAAAATCACAAACAGCTGTGGAATGTCCGTCTTTCGTTTCGGATGTTTACAGGTCTCAAAATATGGCCACAGATACACATCGCCTGCCACTTTCAATCAGACTCCCCACACCAGCTTCGCTTCAGACAATTGGCGTCACCGTTTCCGTGCTACTGGTGCTGCTGGTACTTGAAGTGGAGCTGGTCGACTGGGTACTGGTGGTGGTGCTTGTCCTGAGGCGGCAAAACCGACCAAATGCCTCAGCGAAAACCGGCACTCAGGCATAGCGTGTTCCAAGGAGCTGGCTATACTAAGAACATGAACACGCGCGCATCCCTGGGTGTGTGAGGATCTAAACACCGCACTGACTACCTTGTGAGTTCCATGGAACGATCTACAGAACTGCGAGGACAAACCATCGAAAACGCGAGCCCGCAGAGCTCCAGCAAAGACCTGCTGAAGAAACGATGAGAGCGATCATGGCCGTCGTAGACATTCCAAACCAGTATATAATTAACATCGATAGAGTTTACAATTGCAATGTAAATTACATATAATTACTGATCATGTACTGCCGTGCTGGAGTCTTGGTTCCTCATTTGTGGTTGGGATGATTCTAAGGCCCTTCACCAGCGACAGCAACTCCGCCCAGCTGCCCTCCCACCAACCCTCTGTAGCTCCTGGAGACGGTCGTACTGCTGCTGGTCTCACTGGTGGAGGTCCCGGTCTTGCTGCTGCCTTGGCTGTTCTTGCACGCTATAGAGTCAACCCGAAACAAACATCAAATCAAACTTCAACATAGAACAAGAAAAACACAGTCAGAACAAGCATCAAAATAGCACAATAATGAAACAAACTGCAGGAACAAGAAGGAAAGTAAGGAAGAACGAAAACGTTCACCCGACTTTTGGAGATGTGGAGACCTTGGAAACCAACAGTACCCCCCCTACAATACTAGATCTATCTATCTTCCCCAGTATGTAGTGAATCATGATTCCGGTGATTCCAGAACATGCAGGCCATTGCAGGCAGAGCCAACCAAAACTTAAAATATGCTGAGCCATCCCAGGCGACTTGAGCTCGAACTGGAGCTACTTGTGCTGCTGGTGATGGAAGTCGAAACGCTGGTGCTGCTGGTAAGAGTGATGCTGCTGGAGGTGGAGGTGGTCCTGAAAAAGGGGGCCGGGAGATTGCTGGTGATCGCCACTGATAAAGTGTGGATGAACACGGCCCTTTACAGCAAAAATAACAGTCGATATGAGTCATATCTGATGAAGAAGTACATAGAAGTACCTTCAAACATGTGTCATGTTTGAGTAAAAACTGCTACATAATACTCAAAAAATGACACATGTTGGAATGATCCAGTATTCTATCTACTCTGGCATGACTCTAGCTGTGTGATGACAATTAAGCTTGACTGGTTGCAAACGAAGACGCAGGCGCCAGCTCAATTCATGTAAACAAACAATGTACACAAGCACCCTCAAAGTGATGAGAATGTGTTTTGACGGCCTCTGATTGCCTTTTTACCAAACTCCAACACACTTCAACAACCTCCCCTGTCTGAAGAAGCAATCAGTGTACCCGAATGCGAAGACATCGTACTCGAACTCCCTGTCCCCCCTGGCCTGGTGTGGCTAGTGCTGGTTGTTGAGGTTTCGGTGTGGCTGGTGCGGCTCACAGTGCTCGAAGTAGAGGAGATGGACGTTGTAGAGGTTGTCATGTGCGTACCTTGCCAAACATCGGATGCCGAAGGGGCTACGAATCATTCATTTGGATGTTTGGGTGAACATCAAGTCGTATAGTTTGGAAGTCTTGTGTCGTTACTATAACACAAACAAGTCCTAGGTGAGAAGCTGAACTGCACCCCCAAACCACTGTTGGGCTTAAGTACGGTTTCAGAGTATTTCACATTGTTCTAACCTCCGTGCGTAATGTTACCAGTGTAAACGTGTAGGCAAACAACAAACAATATGCAAGAAACATGTTAAGAAACCTAATGGCAACCTGAATCTCATGTACAGACCGTCAAATGTGAACCATGTCCCCAGCATGCACATCACTGCAATTACTTGGCGTTCTTTAAAACACACGGGGCCTTTTGCACTTGGCTCAACCGGTGGGGCCGACCAAAAAGGGCGAAACCGCTGTGCCACGGAGAGCCGTCCCGGCGAATGAACGTCCGTCCACGGTGCTGTAGGTGGTGACGGTCGTCAGTGTACTGGTGGAGGTGTGGGTCGAAGTGGTGCTGGTGGTCGTATGCCTGAAGCCATTCCAAGAGAATGACTGGGGAAAGGTGAAGAGGTGGAGTCTTACGGAAAAAGCACTGGTGGAAGCTGGAACTTGCATTTCTTGCAGGCATCTAGGAATCTGCGGACCTTTTCCTTGAGATGCAACGGCCTTGTTTGGTACACTTCTCATTTGTGCTGTGTCATCTTGAATGACATGTGAGCACGTTTCTCCATGTTACGCACTCCTCCTTTTGGAGTGTGAGCCACGGATCCACTCCAAACCGGACCTTTCAGTTCAATGGATTCACTGGGTCCATGTATGGAAAAGTGTCCTCCATAGCTCTATACATCTGGCTTTCAAGCTCTGAGTCTTTGACTCGAACTGCGTGATACCAAAGCGCTTCAATCTTCAAAAGTTCCTCTCGTGCCACTAGGTCTGCTCTCGTCACAGCCTTGTTGTAGACTTGGAACTGTGCCACTGGGATTTCCACACGATCTGGTTCCCAGTCTGCGGTATGGGTCCTTGGTGGACCATCTTGATCACTGCCATCTTCCATGCTCTCATCACTCTCTTCACCTTCAGCAGCTGGAACTGGCTCTGGTTCTGGAGCCATTGGAGTATCTCGTGATGACCCCACATCATGGCCAACCGTGGTAGCCTCGACATACTCCACTGGGATAGTGACCACTTCGCCGCTGTCCAGTCGGATCGAAACAGTGTCTCCACTAAGGTTCTCACCGCTCAAATCTTCTTCTCCTTCATGTGGTGCAGCTCCCATGGCTGTAGTTCCATGGCCTTCAACCATAGCCCTCTGGTCAGCTGTGAGGTTAGGAATCCTTCTCCTCTCCAGGCTTCCTCCACGTTCACCACGAATTCGTTCTTGATCTCTCCAGCGCTGCCGAAGTCTCAGCCCCTCATGCTTTCTGTTCACTGCTTCCAGGTACTGCAAGTAATCCCAGTCTGTGCTAGCAACGGAGCTAGCTTCCACATGTCCACCTGCAAAGATCAAGCCTCTGTAGATGCGCTCCATGAAGTCTTGAGCCATCGACTCTTCTCTGCTCTTTGTTTCTTTCTCAGCTTCAAGTTGCGTGACATATGCCTGTAGCATATCCACCCTTCTCTCAAGCTTCTGAAACTTATTCCAAAGAAGCATCGCTCCAAAAACCAGTGCACCAATCACGATGATGAAGATCAACATGTAGAAAGGAATCTTGTAATTGGGCTCGATCATCACCATGTCCGTTGTCTCGCCCGCAGCCAGCTCAAGGCCGCTCACCATCATCAATCTGTTCAGATATTTCGCAACTTTCATGATCTTTCCCTTCTCCACATGCTGTTCTTGGAACTGCTGGTGCTCTTTCTCCCCAACACGCTCTCCATCTCCATCTCGTGCATGACACCAGAAAAGAAGCAAACGTAGGCGAACTTTGGAAAGAGGCTTTGTGCCTATGTCAGCCAGGTTGTATGCTGTCCCTATTTGTTTGACTTCTAGGGATCCATTGGCAACGCGATCCTGGCACCACAAGAGTTTGCCACTGATGTGCCTCAGTCGCCCTGCTCCTCTCTTGCAAGCAATCTGACGAGTTGCCGAGTTATCCACCCAGCACACATGCTGAACTTGTTCTCCAGTGAGGAACTCAATGACGTGTTTGAGGCATATTCCATCACAGGCACCGGCTACTAGAGCATGTAGCTCACTCTCTGCAGAAGAAAGACTGACCACTTTCTGGCCTCTGGAAGTGCTGTAGATGATCATGCCGTTGAGGGCATGAACCGATGAAGACGTTGATTTCCTTGTTGCTCGGTTGCCACTCCAATCAGCGTCAGTGTAGGACTCCAAAATCCAAAGCTCATGGGACCTCATGTTCATTCCCTGTCCTCGTTGAGGGAGAGGAAGCAGGATGTGTTGACTCTCGGTCTCCTTGAGGTAGCCCACAAACTTCTGCGCCTTTAGGAGTGAGATTTCCGTAGGGCTTGACATTCGACTAGCCAGCTCCTTGACAACAAAGGCCACATCCATCCGCTCCTGAGCGAGGTAGATTCCCATGCCAACTATGGACCTGAATATGGCTGCATCTTCTGGTGAAGCCAAATTGGACCCATCTGCATCTTGGATGTCTGAAGTCGCTGGCAGTTTCTGCTTTCTCGCCGGTCCAAAATGGTCCTCGTAGGTCTTGATGATATTCGAAGCATACTGACCTGGTTTGATCAGCAAGCCATCCTCCACATAGATGTACTTTCTCTTCAGGAAGGAAAACTCTTGTCCATACTCCCTGACCATTGCCACATCGACTTCTAACTTCTCCTTCAACTTCGTGACAAAGTCTTCGACTGCCTTCTGCCTTCCTGTAAACATCACATCGTCTACGTGGATGAGGATGCAAACCAAACTCTGCCCATCACCTTGTTTTCCCAGGCATGGGTTGATCACATCGAACTCAAAGTTCAACTCATCTGCCAGGTAGCCGCGTAGATGCTCATACCAAGCCTTTGCCCCAATTCGCTGACCTGGAAGATTCTTCAGGACCTTGTAGCGTCCCAGTGCAGTGCTGATCTGCAATGGTCTCTCCTGCTCCACTTGCAGAAAGGCATCCTTGATGTCCAATGCACCAATGACCGGTGGCCCATACTCACCCTCCATGACCACGTTGTTGACCACTGAGTTTAAGAACAAAGCTGGTAGTACTCTCAGTACGTTGTGTCCTGACGCTGGGCTGAAGACATCGTCCCGCTTGTCATTGGCATACTCTCTTGCGACCATCCTCGACCTCCTCAACCATCTCTTTCTAGGTGGTCCTTCACTGGGCACATAGAGTTTCACTCGCCAGTCATGAACAAAGCGGGTTGTCAACCTGTCCAGCCAAAAGTCCTCCATCTTGAGGTTCTCTAACACGCCCATCCTCATGAGTCGTTGCTCCTCCACCTTGTTGGCCAACATGTCAACTTCTGGAAGTGGTTCCGGTGGTGTTCTAAAAAGTGGTTCATCACTCCACAGCTCTTCTGGAATTGCTCCTGGCACAAGGTCTTCCACATCATCTTCTCCATCCTCAATTGCCAGGGCTTCTACATCCACCACCTCATCCAGATGGTACATGGTCTCGTCCTCAAGGCAAACTTTCTCCACTCGCCTTTCCACATTGAGCTGATGTGTCTTTGCACTCGATGAACTCCCTGCGCCTTCTTCATGCCTCGCACGTTTTGCTTCAGGCTCTGCCCTGACTGCACTTGCTGGTGGCGGTAGCTTTCGCAAAGCTCTTCCTTCAGGAGTTGGTTCTTTCTCTTCCCATGGTAAAGGAGGGATCACCATGGGCACATCCTCTTCTCCTCCTGAGCCCCTTGCCCCAGTTTGCTCTGCAGGAACTGGAGGTGTTTGCATTCCTCCACTTGGCACTTCATGTTGCGGGGCTTGTGGTGCTGGCTCACCCTCAAGTGCATCCAAAGTCTCACCTGCAGCTAGGCGCTCTTGAGTCACCTCTTCAATCTCATTGCGGCTTTCTTCTTTGCCTTCCTTCGACAGGGCATAGCGCTCCACCTCCTCTGCTTCAGCATCTCTGTAGCGAAAGAAGACCTCCTCCTTGGGCAATGCCTTTGTCATTTGGAGTGGGATAGCACTTGCTGCCCTTTTGCTTGGGACAATTCGTCCTCCGAAGTTGACCTGGTACTCGAAGGATGCAGTGGTGAAGTTCTGGTAATAGGCAAGGAAGCTTCTCCATGGCCTTGCCACCCGTCTCACTGAACGCGTCAGCATCACCTGGGATCCATCACCAACTATCCACGAGTCCTGACCCTCCGTCTTTCCAAGGAACAAGCTCATCCTCCACCTTGGGTTACCTTTTCCAGACTGAGGTCGAACGAAGGCATACACGGGACATGCAAAGGGCACCAACAAACCATCATAGGCCTTGCCATGGATGAACTCATAGCTCGTTGTTCCTCTGCTAGCTTGGTACCTGTTGAGCAACCAGCAAGCATGTCGAGCGGCCCAACTCCACAAAGCATGGTTTGTGTTGTATGGCAGTCCCGTCTGATCTTTCACCTGCTCCATCAAGGTGCATGCCAAACCTCTGATCCTCTGGATAGCATTTTCAGCTAGGCTGTTTCCTGCTGAGTCTCTGACCTTGGTGGTGTACAGCCGAGTTCTCAACCCCATAGCGTGGCGACTGTTGAGAATGATCCTCAGCAAAGTGCGGATTGTCGGCTCGTTGTCTCCATACAGTCCAATCTCGACGTGTCCAAGGTTCTGCACAAAGGTCATCACCTCTCTAGCCATCAGATTGAGTTGACCTTTGGACTGCAAAGGAACTGCTCCCAGGGTTCCCGTCTGGCTGCAAGTCATGACAAGCCAAATCGTCGACTTCACCTCACGGATCCTCACTGCTTCTTGGCCCTCGTCCTGTCCAGCCTCATAGAGGTCTACCACCATGTCCTCCTCAATCTCTTGGCCTCTGTCAACATGTTGCGGGTCTCTATCCACCTCTCCAGCTTTCGTGTAAGCAAAGTCCAGAGAGATGACTGGCACACCGCCAATCCTCGAAGCTCCCGTCCTCATGTGACGGTCTGGCCTCCCACGATGTTTCAAGCATGCCTCACACCATGGTTGGTATGGGACGTGGGATAGCGCGTGTAGATCTTGAGCCTCCTGAGATGGAACTGGGATCACAGGTTGCATCCTCGGACGTCTTGCCACCTGCATCTCAGCTGCTGCCACTGCTTCTGCTGCCGCCTTTATCTCACGCTCCTTCAGGTAGCTCACCAGTCGCTGATAGCACTTCAAGCGACTGCCAGACTGACTCACCCCAAAGAAACGACACGCTGCCCTGAGTTCTCTGAGCTTGCTCACTGCAGTCAGCTCCACTTCGTTCACCATGATGTGGTCTGGCAACCCTGCTGCCAGCTCGAGCCGTCCTTCCTGGATGACTTCCTCAACTCTGGGACCAGGTTCGTCAGCCACTGGTCCATCCCCCACCTGAGGCTGCTCCTCAGCGGGAAGTTCATGCTCTCTTCTCGGCACTTCCTCATCTGGTAGCGCCTTCAACTCTGAATCCACTTCGAAGCCCATGTCCTCAGTTGCCATGGCCTCCTTCGTAAGGATGGTCAAGATCAGGGTGTTTTCAGCTGTATTCTCGAGAGGCTCCTCCTGATCTTGTAGACCATGGAGAGATTCACACATCTCAAGCAACTGCCACTTTCCATCGACTCTTGCCAACGTAGTTCTCAGCCAGTCAACATCTCCGGGGACGCCGCCAACATACTGTGGATTCTGCATCTTCTTGCCTACATGCACGCCAGTCCAGCGGTTGTCCATCTGCTTCCAGCCAACCTGCTGTTTAACCTTCTGCTCCATCTCATTGTTCAACTTGGCCTCCAGCATCCTCACCACATGAGGTCCACAAGCAATCGCCCTCACGTAGCCCTCTGCTGTCAGGCTCTTGTTCTGCAACTTCAAGGGAATCCTCAATCTGCTTCCCTCAACTCCATAGGTCATTGCGCACTGACCTCCATCAATGCTCCATCCTCCTTCGAGCAGCTTGCCAAAGGAAAGAATCGGTTGCGATATGCCATCCGAGAAGTGAGCCTTGTCATAGATCTGGATGTGTTTGCCATTCTCGTCTTCGAAGTGAAAGCAAACATGCCTGTAGCCTTTGGTGGCTATCGAGGTTCCTTGGGCATCTTGAAGCTTTGGCTCGTCCTCATCCGCCTCAACTCCACCTCCAAGGTAGCCACTCGGCAGGATAGTGGCGTCTGCACCTGAGTCGATGATGATGTTCACCAACTCATCACCGTCTTCCATCTCAGACTCATTCACCATGCTCTTCACCATGTTGACATTGAGCACCAACTGCTCTCCACCATCTGAAGTCAGCTCCTCCTCACCAGCAATGCTATAGAACTGAACCACCCTCACTGCAGAAGATGTTCCTCCAGTTCCGCTCTGCCTCAAGTCGAAAACAACTGACTCCTCATCAAATTCATGTGAAACTCGTGAAACTGTTGGCACCATCGAAATCCTCTTGATTGTGCCTGACTTCCAGGTGGTAGCTTGACTTGTAGCACCTGTCGAAGCTTGCGTTGCTGTCTCTGCATTTGTCTTGCTCTGTCCACTCTCATCGCTGACTTGTCGAACTCGCCAGCAGTCTCGAGCCAAGTGACCTGCTTTGCCACAGGTGAAGCACGTTTTCACCGGCTGCTCTGACTTGCCTTTTCCTTTCTGCTGGTCACCTTTGCCACCTTTGGACTGAGCTTTTCCTCCGCCATCATAGCCCTTGCCATAGGTCTTACCTTTTGCTTTTCCCCCTTTGGGCTGATCTCCCTTACCTTTGCCCTTTCGCTCATGGTCTTTGCCCTTTCCTTTACTCTTTCCATCTCCCTTGCCCTTGATGCGGTCAATCTCCATGGGTGCAGGGCCATCTGAGCTCTCTCCACCAAGCATCATCGTGCTGCTCCATCTCAACGTGGCCGTGTCATACTGGATGACTGCCTCCCTGAGCTGCCCATAGTCCTGACTCTCTGCGACATTGAGCTGCAGCCATGTCTTGAGCTGGCCACTGACACACTTCATGAGGACCGCAAACTTGATGGTGTCCTCGAGCTTGGCCCCAGTTTTCTCGTACTCCGCATAGGCCTCTTCCAAGCGAAGCAGTTGGCCAAGGATGCTTCCCTTCCTCATGTCGAAAGGCTTCCACTCTAAAATCATCGTCAGCAAACCTAACGAACGGTTTTTCGAGGCAGGTTCAAGGCTCTTGATGAGCATTCGATAGGCCTCCATGCCATTTGAATCTTTCACCTGTCGAACTAGGGCAAGTGGACGCTGTCGGACCAATGAAGCCAACCAAGAGTAAAGGAAGGTGCTCCTCTGTCGTTCCTGGTCAGTTTGGATGCTAGGGTCAACAACCGTGTCAGGTCTCTTCCTCAGCTCCTTGAAGTCCTCCGCAAAGGCGCCGTCCATCGAGGAGAGGTACTGCTCGACGCTCCAGCTGAAGTCCCTCCATTGGCTCAGCTCTTCCTCCCTCGTCTTGGCATCGAAGTTGGCAGGCTTCGGGAGAACCCTGAACCAGTTCTTGTCCCCCTCAGGCTTGCGTCCAAGGGCCTCCGCTGCGCTCTGAGCCGCCATCGAAGCCGCTTCAGCAACCTGAATCATCCGTAGGGCAATTTCTTGGCCATCCATCTGGCCTCCAGAGGTGGGTGACCCCTGGGACATGGACCAACCTTCGTGCCTTCCTCACCTTCAAGGGCCTCCGAGATCAGGTGGATGTGGTCCTGCGGGCGTAGTGATCGTGTAGTCGAGGGAGCCACTAGCTATGATTGCCTATGGCGTGGCACGCTCAACCTGGAGCCTCCACTCCCACCTAAGGGAGCTTCTCAGGCTCCGCTACCATGCGGACCTTTTCCTTGAGATGCAACGGCCTTGTTTGGTACACTTCTCATTTGTGCTGTGTCATCTTGAATGACATGTGAGCGCGTTTCTCCATGTTACGCAGAATCTAATTAGTTCCCATGGCAGCTTGCTACTTGTTCTTCAATCTTAACATATCTTAACTGAACGAAAGGTGGTCCTCCCAAAGGACTTTGCATGGAGTCACCTCAATTCCATGTTGACTTTGGGGTTTGGGCAAAGCTTTGCACAGCCCAGGTTGGATGAAACGCAGGAGGATCAGCAACCTGAACTTGATGGGCCCAAACAGTGAACGAAAGACCTATACAAGCTTGTTTTCACTGTGCGGTTACCGGCCACTCAGCAAGTTCTCAACCAATCCACTAACTCGTCTAACGTCTTAACCTCCTCGGGCACCAAAGAAAAAAACATACAAAAACATATATTTCATCCACGAAACATCATAAACCATATAGAACTCCATGCAACAAACACATAAGCCATCCAAAGAAATGAAAGAGCCCAGTCTTTTCTCCCTTAAGCCACGCCATCGAAAAACGTGGTCCCCGTGCTGCTACTTCGAGTCGAGGAGGTGGTGCTGGTCGCTGTCCTAGTCGCCGACTGATGCGAGGAGGAGTTGCTGGACAGCTGAAGGCTATAACAGGCTGAAGAAGAAGAAACACGCCGGGCTCACCTGCTCTTGAATCAGTTGCTATGAGATGATGAGTTGCTGGTCTTTAATCAGCATGTCTGGTCAGGACATATCAATAAGTGCAAAATCCTGACCATGGTTACCATGGTTGACCCCAATGTGAAGTCTGGGGGCATGCTTGAGTGAACAAATCCGAACACGATCACCAAAAGAGTGATCTCTTGCTGCTGCGGAATTAGACATACTACATCATACTACACTTAGTCTAAATCACTTCGGAACAATACATGAATCTGGTGAGGCAGGTCCAAGAAATGAGCCCTTCCAATTAGTCCGTCGGATTTTTGCCTCCAACATTCAAAGACCAGTGGGGGGGATCCCAGTTGCGCCCAACGGGGCCCAACCCGCCGGGTTTTCCGTGGGTCACGGTCGAGACGCTGGCTGGTCAGGGTGACCGTGCTCTGCGTCACCGAGGTCGCTGTGACGCTGGTGTCGGTCGCCGTCTGGAGGAGTCAAAGAGTCGGAACGGTTGTGGAGGGTGTAGGGGTTTGGTTGGTTTCATGAGGATTCACAAAGCGAAAGTGGTGGATATGTCCAATAAGTCGGTGTTCACCTTTCTTGTCTGGAACAGGGGATATATTATACAGGGTTCTTGCATAGTGACATCGTGTGGAACATGGCCAGCATGTGGAGGTAAAACATTCTTCAGGTCAATGGCACTGCTCAGAAGATGGTCGAATCCATACAGAAAGCACTCCATATCACAAATGGCATCCGTATGGAAACAAGAGTATTTGCTGCACACACACAGACAAACATACTGTAATTGCACACGCACACGCAAGTTCCACAACTTTCTTTACATTACCTAGAAATATGTTACTGATATGTCCATAGGTACCATAATAGTATGCCATGAGTTTCACCTTACACCCTAGGACACCCGCAGCTGCCGGCCAATGTGGTGGTCGTCACGACAGGGACGATGCAATCATCCAGGCCGTCGTTGTTGGCATCTGGGCCGCTGATGGGCTCAGGACACTCCTGCTTCGACTGATGGACGAGCTCAGCTTGGCGCTCCGCCAAGCAAACAACGGTGAAAGAGATGGGACCTGGACCAACAGTAGATAAAATAACTGTAGAACTTGAATGTCCACTTGAATGATATAGGTCAAGCATATATGAATGCATATCTATATTTGGCCCTATTTGCTGTGAGGGGCCAGCACCCTGACAGGGGGTTGCAGTTCAGAAAAGGTTCTTCTTACCACAAAGAAGAAATGATCCAGAACCAAACATTCACGACCTTTCACGTCATTCACCTGTCACAAGCTTGCGAAGGCCACCGGGGCTCCATCGGTCTTGCGCGCTTGTTGTTTCGCGCTTTGCGTCACCGTCCTGACTCGAGTAAGGCACATTGGATGCCTCGATGGTGCCGCTGCCACAAGCACAGCAAACTTCCGTTGCATCGTAGCCATCCACTGCATAGTCCTGTCGACCGTGGACCCTTGAGGTGACCGGTGGATGAGGTGAGGATAGGTGAAGAAGGTCGACTGGAAAATCGAATGCATGCCTGGATCGACAAAGCATGGGTAGCTGAAAGGAGCTCTTGCGGCCCTGGAGGGATAGCAAAAACAGACCCAAGATGATCATGTCATGTTTTGGGGTGGTTCCATGTTCCACAAAACTTGATGTTGGCTGAAAACATCTGTCGCATATCACAGATCTGCATGCTCTGTGCGTGGATTTCAGCCGTACCCAATATATACCCATGTCAAACAACTTGACAAGCAATCCTTTTGACAACAAAGGAAAAAGACTCCATTGAAACATTGAATAGATACATTCCAACATCAGCTGCATTCCTTCGTTTCATCGAAGGGCACTTCGCAAAGGCACAATTCACAATGTAGGCCACTGAGTCTGGTATTGTCAAACTCATCTAAGAACTGCAATTGCTAGGGGCAAATTCTCCAATGTGGGTCGCTGAGTCTGGTATGGTCAAGCTCGTCAAAGAGCTGCAGTATTCAACGCGCAAAATCTAATGCAGGTCAGTAAGGTGGGGATGGTCAAGTTGGTCAAGGACCTGCAATGGCTAAAGGCACCATCACTAATATGGGTGACGGAGTTGGGGACAATCAAGTTGGCCAACTGTTCGCAACCTTGACTAACTAAAGGCGCTACTAAAGGCCATACTGGGTGGCACCAGTCATTTCCACTGCTTCTTCTGCCTGTAGAGCTGTGGATCTCAGTGCTTTTCACCCTACTCTTCGATTTGTTGGCAGTACAAAAGAATAGAACAATCCAAACGTAAGGCATAGAAAGCTACTTCGCCAAGAGAAACAACACTTGATTACAGGAAGAGCTTGTGCAGAAGAGGGCAGAATTGAAGAAACACCGGCAGAACCACAGGAGTGATCGGGCAAACCAAACTAGACAAAGGAACTTTAGAATGATAACCAAGTCATGAGACCTTGGTTTTAGAACGTTATTAGAGCGACCCATGGCCCATGACGGGTCGACTTCTAAACAAGTTTCATGAAAACATTCAGAGGTCTGGAGTCTTAGGTCATGAAACTTCGCTTGCGCTCAAAGACCAGTGGCACATCTGTCTCCATTTCTATGCCGGCTTTTCCAGGCGGATATCACACTTCGAACTTGGGTTTTCAGTTATATTCAGTTGTCACGATGGGAAGGAAGGTGATGGAACGGCATGGTGAAAGGTCCGAAAACTTGAAGGTGTTTCAACATTGAAAGTTGTCATCTGCAGAAACACGCGAGCGACTGCGGTGAAAGGCTGCAAAAAACGCGTGGCTGCTGCAAGTGGCTGAAAGGAAAAAGGTTTGGGGGAAGTATCACGAACCACCATGGAAACAAACAGCAAAAGTGGACAGCGTGTGCAACAGTTGTTCGGCAGGTACACACTGAGACGTCTCTCAGTGCTTCCCCTCCAGCGACTTAGCTTCGTTGGGCAAGGTTCGTCGCTGGAGGCCTTGCCCCCCTGCCTGTGATGAATTCACATCAATGGAAAAAGAAAGGAACGATCTCGGTGGTAGTGGAAAGGTGAAAAGGTGGAAAACCCTTAGAGCCAGGGTGTGACACACACACAACACGCCGTGATCGGCGCACAGAGCGAGCGGTGGAAAACGCAAGTCTTTTTTCTCAAAAACCGCCTGCACGCGTGCAGGTCATGCCCTTTTTGGGCGTAGAGGTCGACCAAAGCTTCAGCCGCAGCGGTAGCATGAAAATTAATTAGCTTGAAAAATTGGCATGCATTGTAATCTCCGGGGTGTGAGCATGCATGCGTTGATCGTCGGTCAAATGGCTGCGGGTGGGAAATTAAATTGAAGTTGGAGAAAACGCAGCAATGCACAACACGAATGAATGTCGGAGCGTTGAGTGGAAAGTTCCTCGCTTATAGCCCGGCGGCTCGAAAATCAGGGAATTCAGGGATAAAATGGAAAACGTGGGGTCAGTTATAAGAAAGAAAAAACGATGCTTTCCGGAATGATAGCAGCGCCTCCTTTCGGAGGGTCACACCCAGTACCCGAGTGGGAAGACTGAGCGGGTCACACTTCGAACTTGGGTTTTCAGTTATATTCAGTTGTCACGATGGGAAGGAAGGTGATGGAACGGCATGGTGAAAGGTCCGAAAACTTGAAGGTGTTTCAACATTGAAAGTTGTCATCTGCAGAAACACGCGAGCGACTGCGGTGAAAGGCTGCAAAAAACGCGTGGCTGCTGCAAGTGGCTGAAAGGAAAAAGGTTTGGGGGAAGTATCATGAACCACCATGGAAACAAACAGCAAAAGTGGACAGCGTGTGCAACAGTTGTTCGGCAGGTACACACTGAGACGTCTCTCAGTGCTTACCCTCCAGCGACTTAGCTTCGTTGGGCAAGGTTCGTCGCTGGAGGCTTTGCCCCCCTGCCTGTGATGAATTCACATCAATGGAAAAAGAAAGGAACGATCTCGGTGGTAGTGGAAAGGTGGAAAACCCTTAGAACCAGGGTGTGACACACACACACACACACACACATGTCTTCCTCATGATGTTTGCACATCCGGTCACATCCGTTCACCATGCCGTTCCTCCTTTGTTGCTGTTTGAATATCTATAGATCTTGCCGTTGGATCACCATATGACTGATGGAGGAACATGTTTTTGCCCTGGGAGTTCACCAAAACGGGTTGTTGGAGGAAAGATCCGTCCTGGAAGGAACCCCAGGTCACCTGCCAGCCGTTTCCGTAGCCACCTGTGCTGCGCAACAAGCATGGGTTGCTGCTGGAGGAACATGTCAAAGAGCTTTTGTAAATAAATGACATGCATTCGCTTGGTCACTTGGGGAGGTTCCTGGCAAGCCGCACATCTGTGAAACATGAATCTTGCATGATAGGAAGGAAAAACGTGGGAGTATGTTGATCCCGAGTGTAGATCTAATCAGCACAAGTGCGCACTAGAGCGCATATGCACCTGTGGACGTACACCATTGGTAGCTCTCGTAGATGCCTCGGTTTCGATTTCAAAGACCCAAGACCGAAGAGCTGCTCTGACAGGATGTGATCTTCAAAGCCCAATTCTCGCAACAAACAAAAGTCATTGTATTTAAGTAATTTTAAGGAAACCTCTACTTGTAGGAAACAAGTGATTCCTCTAAAACACTTGCACATAGCACAACCATCCACAACCCTTGCTGCATCATCATCGTGTGCATCGTTTGCCAAGCTGTCTTTCCTTAAAACATACTGTCAATCAGTTCCTACCATCGTGTTCGTTTCGGATCGTGTCTTTCCAAAGGTAGGACAATGAAACTTCCAATCGCTTCATCCAGAGGTGAAAGCGCTGACGCAGTCCGTCGCTTTCGATCCGAGGAACTGCAGGTGGCATCATAGGAGTCTCTCCAACTTCGAACGTTGTCCTACCGGAACCCACCGGATGGAGAACCCGAGGACCTCGGGAGATCCCCATGTCTCCCCCGCCCTGGAGTTCCAGGGTCGGATCCTAGTGGTTCAAATGAAAGTCTTATGATGTTTCTCTACCCAAACAATGCAGCTCAGCAGACCATACAGTTTCATGCGCGGATTCTGGATCGATAAGGAAGAAAATTCTGCGATTATTGCATTTCAGAGCTTTGCACAACTAGTTCACAAGCTGATGAACTGCCTGAGAGGAAGCTTCTTGGATCTTCTTGGTTGGAACTGTACTCACTCCAAAAGAGAGTTTGGTTTCGTTCGGACTTCTATAGTCCAACAGTTTGGCCAACTCCAACCACCACCACTCCTGGCATTCAGGCTCTCCGCTGCATTCCACTGTGCTCACCTGAACGTTGGGAGCAGAATTCTCACACCTGAATATTAAGCTGGATGCTTGCGTTCAGCAACTTGACTTAGCCCTTGCATCCCAATCTTCCGAACGTCTCTATGCTTGTCAAGCACTCCAAAAACCTCGTCTAATGTCCAGTCTTGGAGCCGAGTAGTATGGCCATCTCCATGTCTTCCATCTATTTCTTCCTTGTAACATCTTAAAACCCTTCCAACCCTCCATCACCCTCCCATTCATCCATCAAATCCGGTCCCTCTCCGTCCTTCTCCGGGCGCCTCGGTGCCGTTGCTGCTCACGCAGCTCACGTTGCGCCAGCGGAGGCCCTGCAGGGAGCTACAGCTCGCGCGGCGGCAGGAGCTCCAGGGGCCAACCAGCCAGCTATAGCCAATACCTGCAAAGAATCGGACAGGGAGGTTTGGAGGGGATTTGCTGAAATTTCGCATGGTTGGTTAGTTATGGTTGGCTTATATAGTCGGGTGATGTTGGAAGCACACTGCTGCTCACTCTCTTGTGGGAGTGGGATATCTACCCGGGGATCTGATCAAATCTGAAGACTTAGATTACATGTTGATACACGGCATCTTTCGAATGATATGCTCCTGTTCACTGATTTCTGCTATCAAACAACATGCGAACATCCTGACACATGTGAAGCCTCTCCTGACAATGCCTTTGTGGCGGCTGCATCCACATCCAGCCTCAGCTGATCTTTCTCAGAACACTTTTGACACGCTTGGAACCTAATAGCAATGGCCTCCAACCTACTAGCGATGGCCTCCACCCTAGTAGCGATGGCCTCCGACCTAATAGCGATGGATGTGGAAAACTGTTCAAGCACGTGAAGGATGTGAGGAACACGCACGCGGTTTTGTTGGTGGACAAAAAGAAAAGAACATGAATGACACTTGGTTGATGGATCCCGTTTGTGCGTCTGTAGAAAGGAACTCGGTCTTACTTTCAGTGTTCATTTCTTTGTTTGCAAACAGAATTTCTTACATATTGAAAAGCTTGCTCGAGCTTGCTTGGGTTCGATGCTGACAACGGTGTTTCACAACAACCAGGAAAACCTCCAAATAGCTCACAAAAAGGATACTGAGATACTCGGGATGTCAGTTCGCTGAACGACACTCCTTGGAGACATGAATTGCGCCAAGTGGCATGCCGTTGCCCACGAAGCCTTCTGTCCAGGACCTTGAGTGTCGTTCACTTCTCCAACAAATCTAAAGATTATGGACCAGAAATCTGGGCCTTGGACCAAAGGTGATTGATTTTCAGTGTAGGATTAGCAAAACAAAATCGAACGTTTCAGAATCAACTCGCAGTGCTCTGCGGAGTGCTTCGACATACGCCAATGCCAACATAACCCCAAAAACACATTGGATGATTCTCTGCCAGCAGACAACTTCTCGGCTGTCTCCAACAGCAGCCAGCGGATATCCTCTGCACACGCAAAGCTTTGACGACTGGATGATTCAAAGCTGCTTGCAATGTAAGGTGCTGGGCACAATACTTGGTACTTGATCTACGTGATAAGCAACAAACTTCTCAGAACCCTTGGCGAAAACATGCAGAAACGGACAATGCCACGAACAACAAAGAACCGACGACCAAATCTGGAACTTCAAGGCAGCTGGCAGGGTGGGCCTTTGATCCTTTGGTGCGAAACCAATAAACTATAAACCATGCACTCTCCAGTGCACTACCTGTTTCACCACCGATACGGACCATTGTAATTGAGGGAATATTGAGGGTGTGTTCCTTGAGGCCAAGCAGTCAAGCTCAGTGACTCTAGTGCCTGGGCCCGGCTTCTGGACGGCTTCGGTGACTGTCGTTCCAAATCCCCTGGAACGGTCCTCCACCGATTTCACCGTGCTCGTGGCACTCCGAAGCCAGCTATACAGCAGCGCCGCAGCGCCCGCCACCTAAAGCGCCCGCCCGAGAGAGTCACCATCGAACAGCCTTGGGATGGTGAGGATGTGATCTCGGAGTGGTTCAAAACAGTCGTTTCCTATTGAGCTTTCAAAGAGTTCAAAACACTTTCAGGACTGATCCGCTCCAACGGGGGGGGGGACGATTCCGGTCCAACGGCCAACGTCGTTTCCGGTCCGACCGTCGCTCCGAAGGGCCATGGACGTTCCGAAGGAGGTGCCCGTGAGAGAGGCATACTCCGTGTTGCCCAGGTAGCTACCTTAGGAGGGAGGGTCGAGGCGGTTGGTGTTTCTGTTGTTGGGATCTGTGTCAGATCATCCAAGACATGTGGTTGAAGACCTATTGAACACCTAAAAAGACCATGGGAGATAATTCAAAAAATGAAATACCTCTGAAGTTATCAGATTTCTAGTGTTTTGGGGCGTACATTCCAAGCAATGTAGAGATATCATGGAATCTTGACCCAAGCCCATGTTATAACCCAATTGCCTGGCAGAAGCTTTTTTTCTACCGAGGAGCAAAGTTTGAGAGCTCGAGCAGTCAACAGGTCCACTAGTGGATTGGCAATACGTTGGACTCGCAAGGGCTAACTACGACAAGGGGAAGCGGTGGGGGTCTCACATCGGAAGGCAACAGCCTTAAAGCCGTTCAGAACCATCTGCTCCCAAAACTGCGTGGGCCCAAGCCTCCAAAATGCTGCTCGGGGGTTGACTGCTGACATGTTTATTTTTGTTTTAAATGTACTATCCGATTACGCTATATGTTGCTAATGTCTTGTTTCGTTAGATGTAAACAGGCTCCGACGACTGCGAAAAAAGCGGATCTGGGAATGCTCATGGCTCATGATCTCAAACAAAATTGCCTTTGTTGCTGCGGATCGACGAGCGAAATGTGGATCTTCATCCATATGATCGCCGAGTTGCTGAGGATGTTCTGCCCTGGGGCGATCAGCTCCACGCTCGCCACGCCGTAGTTGGAGAAGAAGGTGAACTGCTCCTGGATTGACTAGGCCAAAGGAGAAATCACTATAGACTAAACAAAGGCGCCTGTTGGTAGATTGGTTGCTTGTTGATACTTGCTCTGCTCATAGATAGTAATTGTGGCCGACCCCTGGTAGGCGGTGACCATCCGCTGCCTATGAAGCGCCACCCCACCCACTGACCCCGCTTCGCGATGCTTCGCGTGGTCCGACCTGGTCATCAGAGGCGGCCACGCACAGCACCTTCGTGCGACTCGGTTTGGCGGAAGTAGAGACACACACTCCCTGGGATCTTCATGGTTACGCGGAGTTCATCACCTATATAGAATTTGGATAAAAATGGTCTGATATTAACTTTGGGGTGAGGCCACCCACGTAGCCATGATGATTCCGGGGAGTGTATAAAGCTATACTTCTCAGTGAAGCTGGACCAGGATGGCAGCAGAACTGGCTCGCTGCTCTGCCCTGCTCTGCTCTTCAGGGTTCACCAATCATGTGCTGGTCAGCTTCCGAATGTGGGTTGCTTTTCAGAACACTCCTCTGAATCATTGGTTGGTGTCCACAATGTTGTTAAATTAAACACCCACACAGCACAGACAGAATGATTTCAATGTGTCCAACTGACTCTTGAAGCTGATGCTTGGACCAGGCACATGTGGATATACGCAGGGGTAGAAAGGTGAGGCGTCCGCGTTGGCATTGTCGTTCCCCGCAGCGGAAACCTCGTGGCTGCAAACCGGTGATCCCCGAATGCCCCTATCGTAGTCTGGGTCTCAACCTATAGATGCTCCAGGCTCGGGTCGTGCGACAAGACAAGAGATCGCCGAACATCTATTCTATACTGTACTGAGTACGGCAGTAACGGACAGTGAAATGGGTCCAGTGATTGCATCCATAATCAGTTGTTGTGCAGCTTCCACAATCAACGTCTCAAAGCTGTCCAAAGAAAGAAGAGCACAGCATTGGCATCCATCCCAATACCCCTTCCAAGGGCAACAATATCAACAATTGAACAGCAGAATACCTTGAAATACGAATGTGAGAGGACTTACTCTCCAAAAAACCCGTGAGGCCCAAAGAACCAAGAGGTGAAAAGAGATCACCAAAGAAACACCGCTTCAGACTTAGCCTTTTAATGGCCAACACCGGTGATCCAAGGTGCAAAGAGATGACCGGCCTCCATTGCCACCTGGCGGTGTGTTTCACACCCAGTCGAAGCCGAGAAACATGTGCCCACAGTCATGCCGGTCAATACATGGGGGTTCCCCCTTTGAAGTCACGTCTTCAAAGCACCACATGCCCATCCTCAGCGCACAACAGGAAGGCATCGCCCGCCACCGGCGTCCGGAGATCGGAGGGCCTGGATGGCCGTTTGCAGCGCCGAGGACTCGCTGTGGCCGCCCCAGGAATTGCTGGAGATTTCCGCCTTGGGACCGTCGTGCGTCTGGTGGACCGTGTGACGGTGGTTGGTTGGACTTTTCGAAGGGAAGATGATGGAAGGCGAAACAAAGGGCAGCTGGGGGAGGAACTATCACTCTTTCTTGTCCAAGTGGGTGGAGATATATTATTCTTGTGGAAGATTGACGGCCTAAGCTTGAAGCGGAAAGCATTTGCAGGCGCGTGGAATGTGCCGGAGTCAAACACACATTCCCATAGTCTGCCAGCAACTGCGAAAGAATGGACCTTTTCAATTCGTTGGTAACAAACTTCATCTTCATAAAGAGGAATCTTGACCTGCTCCCACTCTTAAAGCGTAGCTTTTGGCAAGGTCAACCAAAACACACCCCCTTTGATTCAATTAACTAAGCAAACACAGAAGCTAAACAGGTTAAGAAAAAACAGGGCTGCAGCCTGAGGCTACATGTAAGTCTCTGGAAAGAATCACCTTCATCTCTTCCAAGTGACACCCATAGCCATCGCATAGTTGAGCGCCTGCAGAGAAATCCACCCGGCCCATCGAAGACCGGTGGCGACGGGATCCAACGACGGGCTCCACAGCCTACGTCCCAGCCGTTTCATGTCCTGAGATCGGATGATATCTGGTTTCGAAGGATAAAGGACTGAAAGGCTTCAATTTCTAAGACAAGCAACATAAAAAGAAACAGCACATCCCTGACATCTGTGGGTGGCCGCCTCGATCGCATCGCTCTTGTAGCCGCCATTCTTGGTCAGCGCCTGACAGGGACGTCCCGAGAGACGTCCGGCGTGCCGAGCCGAGGGGGACACGGTCGAAAACCCAGGTAGTTCCACTGATTTCAGAATAAAGACATATGGAAACACATGGAAACCAATGAGAACTATGTTGGAACTTCTTCATTGTGAAGGATGTGCCATATACTAATACTTGACCCTAGCCTGTTGAGCTGCATGAAGCTGAGAGCTGGAAATGGCAAAAGAAAAATATATTCAAACATTAAAGCACAAACAGTAGCAAGATATAGGACAACAATACGAGAATAAGATAGGCAATTTGTTCCGAATTGTTCTTTTTCAAGGTTTCGGCAAGAATTGCAATTCTCGGAACAGTTGGCTGCTTTTTGTGGGACACTGGGTAGACCCGGCTGGGGTGCGCTTTGGGAGGGTTGTTACCGGCCTAGACCCCCTACCCCCAGGTCGCGCACCCAGACACCCTGATTCCCTGTCCATTGCCAGGACCCAGCTTCTGAGCTGAACCAAATTCTGGTTCCTTTTTGTTGTTCCAATTGTTTGCCTATTTTTGTTCCATGTGTTTCATAATTTGTTTGGATCGTACCCAGTGAAAGCTTAGCTTCCTCAACACATATATATATATATATAACCCTAGCAACACCTGGCAGAGTTGTGAGAAGGCAAGCGGTTGAGCCCTGAGGCTTTTGAGGTCTCCTTCCAATGAGCGTCGGCCGGCTCCCTGGCGTCTGATCCCCACCTTGACGTTCGTAGCATCCGGACGCTATGTTCGTAGCGATGCCCTTGTTAAGTGGGAAAAGCGTCCGATCGCTCCTAGCGATGCCCGGAGCCCCGAACGTAGCTTCTTGTTCCTAGTAGTACGGCCAGGAGCCCCGAACGTACAGTAGCGTCCTTGCTACGTTCGTAGCGATGCCCCACCTTGACAATCATCAACTTCACCTTCTGGTTCCGACCAGCGGCACCTCCCGAGTAGCGACATGTGGCGACCCATCAGCCAGCGGCCAAATATATTCTGCTGCACATCACCAAAGCAAGTATATATGTGTGTATTTTGTGTAGATTCGCGTGAGTCCGAGTAGATTGGAAAAAGTCAAACTGGCTGCCAGATTCTCTCAGAACATGGTCAAACTCGTCGACCCAAACACCCTCCGCCCATTGCGTCGCCTGCGACGCCCAAGTTGTTGAGTTGCGCAGCGATGATACCGGCATTGTGAGTGCCATGGCCTCCATCGTCTTCTGGGCTACCATTGTTATCCTCGGAAATTGTCTAGCAGTCTAGCAACAAGTCTGATGAGGAGGAGCAGCTAAAGACATGCGGCCCTGGTGAAAGGTGAAAGCCCTGGTCGAACTGGTCATACAGTTATTTTTGTCAACATATGTCAACATGAAGATCAAATCACCCAACATGGAGATAATCTTCGAATGTCCCCAATCCCTATCAAACTTCCAAACGCACTTCGAAGTGGCAAAAACATTTATTGAATCAAGCCCTGCAAACTTCTGCATCTGAGGTGCTACAAAGTTGAAACCATTCACATCATCGATAAAACCTTGGCACAGCTGAATCAGCAGCAAACATCGTAGTCTGGGGTCAACAAATTGGATTAAACTAAAAATATACACAGGATAAGTATTGAGAGGGAGCTGCATGGTCGCACATGCATCCCTGGGCATCCCTGGTGCTTTGGGACATGCTGATTTAAACATATCTAAACGTATATGATCGTATATGCAAATAACATGCACTTAACTTTACTGTGCACTTTATAACACTTCTTGCATCTGTCTCTGACCCATCAAATGCCTTATTGCGATGCAATTTCCATGTTCCACACGTTCCATCACTAGGATCCACTAAGTCACTACAGGCCCTTCGTTCTGAAACTTTGGATTCGGACTCCTTTGGTTTTTCTCCTGGTCACTGTGGTGGGGGGCAGTGAGTGATCCAAGTCACCGTTGCCGTCATCATCGATGCCATTTCCAGCAATCTCTCCAGGATTCACCCACACTCGCCCTGGCCGCGAGTGTATGCGCGAGAGGTCTGCCCGCGGTCTGTGATCATGAGTGGGTCTCTGCGGCCTCCACTGGCCGGCTGTAGGTTTTGAAATGGCGAACCCAGGCGACATTCTCAATGCAAAAAAGGAAGATATGGCATTGGGCATTAGAGTGTGTTTACAGTACTTATACCGTTTGCTGTGTGTGGCCTGTTTGAAAGAGAGGGAGGAGAAATCCATTCCAGGCCCATCACCCAAGAAACCCATGCACCGTTGCCGCCCGTTGCTCGTTGCCTTGCAGGTCTTCATGATTGAAGTTCAAGCCCGTGTCGATCAATGCGACCACCACCTGGACCAGGGATCTGGGCCCGTGTCGATCGCGTTTTTGAGGCGATCAAACTAGAGAGGACCTACATCATATTTGTGCGGTTTCCATGCAAATACGGGTGAGTTGGGGATTAAGGTTTATTGTCATGGTTACTTGCATGCTTGAGAGTTTTGTCTCCTTGCTTTCTGGCCTACAGGATCACACAGCGTGCTGGACACTGCTGTCCGTGTCTTGAGGTGTTGCCGCTATTTCGATTTTATGGTGCATTTGGGAACATCCCCACAGGGACTTGAGGCGTTTGAGACCTTTGCCTTGGGTGAATCCTTCTTTGGACAGGTCTTGGGTTGACAGGGATCAGTGCTTGCAGCAAGCTTGTTCTGAGGGCCCAACAAAAGCACATCGTTCTCAAGCTAGCAACAAGGAGGGATTGCTCTGGTGCCCGCTCCACACGAAATGACCCTTATCAACTTCACACTCTTGTTCACACATCCCACTGAAGTGTGATGACATACCTCGTTCAAAACCACCACACCTTCGAAGGGTGGCAAGTCAGCCAGCTCCCTAGGGCATTTTTAAAGGAATCCTGCCATCAATATTGCACCCCTATACATCCCTCCTCATCTCTCATTCTCTCACGAAACCATCTTCAAAACCCACACCGAACGTCCAATGTTCCCACCAAGCAACCCCTCCAGTCACCAAAAGGCCCCTGGCACCTCACTGGGCTCCACATCCAAATCCTCCAAGACTTGCCAAGCACCGAAAAAGCCCACACGAATGGCACCCCACTGCCTCGGGCAAAACGAACACGGTGCCGAGCTGGGAGCAGCTCCGAAACAGCTTGATGCTTTGGATGTCACGCCCCATTGGGGATGTCATATACCGCCTTGTTGTTGCTGTTGTTGTCGTGGTTGTGGTGGTGGTTGTGGTTGTTTTTGTGATGTGTTGACACCTTTCAAGCTTGAAGGCAACGACTCGATCGGATCGTGCACATCGACGAGTGGCGTGGCCCACAAAGGATCCACGACGGCTAAGGCTTGCAACGGAGAATAGATCTGTTCCTTGGAAAAAGCAACAGGTCTGCAACCATGGAACAGAAGCAACAGGTCTGCTGCTCCGTTGGATTAAACATGTTGCAAGTCAATTTGGGTGATGGTCGTGACAGTGGACAGAATTGAAGCACAGCTAGCTGGTGAACATCGGAAGTGTGTTGACCAAGACCATGGCAACATGTTTCGGAAGGGCATGTGTGCCCAAAGCTTTCCTGCAGCAGGGCTTCATCTAGCTCAACAAAATCCAACTCATCCTTGAACTTCTCTTTGATCAGCTCCACGGTCTTTGCAGCATCCTTCCCCCGCGATCCGCGTGGGAGAGCGGGGCAGCTGGGGGTGAAGGGGTGGAGGGGTGAAACACCTGCAGTAGTCATAGGTGGGAAGCACCAGCATGACCAGAATGACAGCTCCCAGATGGGCCACAGCTTGCCAGTCTTAGGATTTATCAGGTGCTTCGAGCTTGTAATCTCCGGGCTTTTTTGGTGCACAAACGCCATCCACCTGCTCTGGCTCAGCCAACCGTTGAAACATGTTGAAACGGTCACGGGTCCTTGTCGCAGCTTATCTCTGCGATGTCAATGCCGACCTTTGTCCTTGGGCATCTTTGTGGGAATGAGGGTGTCAACACCTCCCAATGGATGCATGATGTGTCAGTGATCACTACATAGAGGCTGCGCTAGAAACCAAGGATCTGTTTATTGCCTTCCGCTGCACCTGGACACCAAGAATTGACGGTTCTGGCAGAAGAAGGACATCTTCCGAAAATAAAAACCCATCAGAAACAAGACTCTGAATCGTGAAGCAGGATCCAGCAACACATCTAGAACACATCATATATATATATATATATATACACCATTATATACTCCCTAGGGCTCCAACCATATATCCTCAGAAGGTGGTTAGACCCCAAAAACGCACCCCAACCACCTTCTCAGGAGGTGGGCCAGGAGCCCTAGGGACTTCTACCGTATACCTGGTTCCTCAAAGCGACCCTTGAAAGGTCCGAACCTTGAGGGGTCGGAACCAGGGTCACTTCAGACTCTAAAGGGTCACACGTCAGCTGTAATTAGTAGACACGGTAAGCTGTGAACCCAGAGAACGGATGCATCACCGTTAAGTGCTAAATTTCGCGAATAATTTTATTTCAGGCTGTTTTAGGTGCTTCAAACATCTTGGAGTCACTATGGTCACTTCAACAAAAAAGAAAACTGAATTAACTGGATTGTGCAAAACCATTTAAACCAGTTTGGACAAAAACATGTAAAAAAAACAACAAAACAAGGCAGAAAAGAACATGAAAGGGAGGAACAGGGGAAAAGGAAATCAACACAAGGGAAATGAAAAACAAGACCCAACAAAGAGAAGGAAGCCCCTGGAAAAAGGAAAGGATGCACGGATGCACACAAGAAAAAGGCAAAGGAACATTGAAAAGGAGAACAAGAACAAATTGACAAGGACTCACAGGAAAAGGACAAATGCCAAAAAAAAACAACAACAAAAAAAAGGGGGACACGTCCACGTTCCGAAAAGAACATGAAAGGGAGGAACATGAAAAAGGAAGAAAAGGAAACGCATATTAATAAACAAAAAGTGACAACAATGAAAACGAGGAAAAGGGAAAATAATGCAAAGAAAAGGAATACATTCTAGGAATATCGGATTGCAGTAAAGTTGTTGACGCATAAGCATGAATATAATGTACCATGTGTAACATAACCTTATATAACCATAGTTAGTTTGCCATGCCACTGCAGCCTGGTAAGTTGTTTTGACACTGACCAGAACCAGAGTCACTAGAGCCAGGGTTTCCGGGTTTCGTCGACGGTGTCAACCCCGCTAGACCAGAACCAGAACCAGGGTCCCAGGGTTTCCAGGCCGGGTTTCGTCCATATTGTCAACCATGCCACTCAAACCATGTTCGCAAACCATGTTTTGGGACCTATGGTCACAACTTACACACCTGAGGTTTGAGAAGTGCAAGAGACTAGCTGGCATAAATTGTTTTTCGCAGATCGCGAAAAGAGACCCACAGGAAACCATCAGGAGTTCCCACAATACTCTCTCTCTCTCTCTCTGATTTGTGATTTGCTAGAAAACCATCGGGAGTTCCTGGAACTCTGTCTCTCTCTCTCTCTCTCTCTCTGATTTGCTGACAGAAAACAATCGGAAGTTCCCGGAAGTGGGCGGCGTGGCCGCACACTATCCGGGGAAGCTGGCAGGTGGCCCCCCGATGAGATTGTGATTGTGATCGGGAGTTCCCGGAAGTGGGCGGCGTGGCCGCACACTATCCGGGGAAGCTGGCAGGGGCCCCCCGAGAAAAAAAAACAATTGCCAATGGCAGAATTGAATTGAGAAGAGAAGATGAATGAATGAAGGGAAGAGATTTTTTGAGTTGAAGGGAATGGAAGAGATTTTTTGAGTTGCCGTGCATTGCAGAGATTTGATCTGACAGAGAATTGGAACGAAGTGTCGCTGCTGATTCCGTTATGTAATAATAGTTAATAGGCTTACTACTTTTATTAAGCACGCGTGCTTTTGGCCCTTCTTAATTCACCGAGATTGAGGCGACAGAGATTGTTGTATATATATATATATTCGCTGAGCTCCTGGCGACGGACATGTTGTACTGAACAGTCGAATGTTGTACTGGAGGCACTGCAGGCCATCGACTTTGGCCAGAGGCTGCGTGCAGCTACAAAGACTTCAAAGACTATCGCGGTCGCACCAGGGCATAAGTGCCATACTGACTTGAATGACGGTCAGCAACTGTCATGGGCAGGCCTTCATGGTCCTGCTATTGGACGCAGCCAATAGTGGCGAACGGATCGAACTGCGGCGCATCCGCCGAGTCATCTATGTCGATGCCCGCTGGAGCCACTTATCAGACTCAGACCGCGTGATGAGGACTGACGATGCGGCCCAAGATATGAAGGCGAAGATGCTACAACATCATCCACGCTTTACGGAGCACTATGTTCGCCGGTGGCCGAGTGTGCCCGGTCCAGATGACTGGCGGTCGTGCTGTCAATCTTGTGGATGGCTTGCAAGAGGTAGCGTCTAACAGGCCGGGGTCACTGCGTTGACAGCAAACCCCTACAGCACGTTTCGCAGCAAGTCTGCTTCGACAAGGGAGGTCAACCTGGAGGACGAACAGGTCATTTTGTCAGTGGACCTGAACGAAGGGCGGAGCGACCTAACGCCCACACCTACATCTACCGTGTCTACGAGCTCCTCACGGTGTCGTTGTCTGCCGCGGCGTGCCTTACACACATGTACACTGTTCAGGTGGGCGTTCTGCTGCGTGCTCGTGCTCGTGCCGCTCCGTGTCTGACTTGTTGCGCGCACATGATATGTGCCATAATATGCACACGTATGTGAGGGGTGCCTACGTTTATAAGTAATCCTTAATTTAACTTAACTACCTAGGACTCTGTAGGACACTAGTTTTTTTAAAGCTACGTCGTTACGTTTTTGAAGCTGCAGCTTTTTTAAAGCTAATGAAGCTGGTTGGTTGGTTGGTTGGCTGGTTGGTTGGTTGTGGTTGTGGTTGTGGTTGTGGTTGTGGTTGTGGTTGTGGTT